AGGTTGTTCCGAAAGACCATGTGCATCTTCTTGATCTGTTCCTTAGTGCTCGGGAAGGCTCTTTCTCCTTCTTCAACCTCCCGTTCCCATCCGTCAAAAATGGCTTTTCGTTTGATCTTAAGTGTCTGGAAGTGCTGAGATGATTTGCTTTGTAAGGAAGAATCCAATCTTCCCATGGGCACACAGCTTGAATTGCTTCTTCAGGAAGTTGTCACTGCCCTGGTAGGTGAGCTTGGGTCGTGGCTGGACGAGGATTTGTTTGCGGTCACAGACCGCGTCCAGGCCCGTGGTCTTGCCCATGGGTAGTAGGGGTTGGTCCGGGCCCCGGCCCAGGCCCGTGATCGTCTCTCCAATCGTTTCCTTAGCCAGGCGCACACACTGAAACATGCGCATGGAAATGAGTTCCCGGAGTTCGTTTGTCCACCCATGGTCATTGCCTGCAAAGTTCAGGTCCCTAGCCGCGTGCTGTCTGGCCAGGGCAGGGGTGTCCCAGTCGGCCAGGTCCTCCATGGTGGTGTAGCCCGCCTGGGCCACCACCCAGTACGGGATCCCCTTCTGTGTGAGGAGGGCCTTGACCCCCGCACTCAGCGCATCCACTCGTTCCTGAAGAGGTTCAGGTACGGGATGAGGGGGGCGTATCGGCATCGGCGGTCCGGCCGGAGCGGCCATCACCAGGTTCACAGGGAGTGGAGGGTGGGTTCGCAAAAGTTCGATCTTTGATGGATCAGGGGCTGATCCTTGAGCCAAAATGGCAGGCCATTTTGGCTAATGAAATGTCTTGTGGACACATTGTTTGCAATCCGCAAACTCCTTCCAAAACCAAAGTGTCCCCAAACATCAATCCAAAAAGGCAGACAGCAGCATCACAGAAGCAGCTCGCACCTCTTTTCAGAGAGGTGGTAGTGTCTGCCTTTACAGGTCTGAACTGTCCTTTTCACCCATGCCAGGTCTTCACCTGGCTTGCACTAGATGGCATTCGAAAATCAGCCAATCCCGCAGGACGGATGCCACCAGTGGACGCCAAGCCCGCAGGTAAGTGGCAACCGTGCGGGGTCGATTCCTCAGGAGACAGGACCCGAGGCGTATGACGCCCCCTTTTCCCCCCGCCCGAGCACCTGTCCCTCAGCCTGGGGGTCAAGGTCAATGTCAAAACCAGTGGACTTCACTCCACTGCACGCTCATGGGATCGGTGGATCATCTCAGAGGTGACCTTCTCCGCTTCCGATGCCGTGTCGACCGAATCATCCGTAAGGGAGTCCTCGGAGTCTGGCGAGGAGGCTGACGAGGCCTCAGTAGGCAGAGGCGCATGTGGGGCTGATGGTGTCTGCCAGTCTGCGGGGAAGGTGTGGTGCTTGAAGCACCGTTCGCAACAAAGGTGGGCATCGATGTTCGCGATGTACTCATCCGATGTGAGCTCATTCACGCGGGCCAGGTTGGGAGGCCAGCCGCGCCCAATGGTCTTGCCCTGGTTGTCCAGGAGGTGAACCTTGAAGAGGTAGGTGCCCTTCTTCCTGAGTGTGGTGGCAATCACCCGCAAGGGACCGGAGGCATCAGCGACCGAGTCAGCTGGGATCTTCTCCGCATCCACCATCTCCCAGCTGGCCGTGCTCTCCGGCGTGGGCCTCAGTGGCCGTTCCGGTGGCGAGCGGCCCAGGTCTTGAGGGATGTGCAGCTGGAAGGCGCAATCAGGGATGAAGACCCGGAAGGAGTGCCAAGAGAGGTTCTCCACCTGTGGGCCTCGTAGGCCTTGTCGTCCCAGAGCTGCTTTGAGCCATCGAAGCGCCCTGTCCGGTGAGGAGGGTCGAGGAATCAGGCCCAGACCATCCTTGCTCAGTGTGGGGATCAGGTAGCCCGAGTCCACAAAGGCCTCAAGTGCGTGAATCTTGCGCCAAGTGATGGTGAGTGGGGTCCACCCGTGAAGGAATACTTGGGTGCAATGAGAGGGACCGGGGACTTCTTCATCTTGAAGGCGGACACTGTCTTGGTCTGCCATGCATTGAGCTCAATGGTGGAGGAACTGATCTGCAGGTAGCTAGTCGAGGTATGTTGGAGGTCATTGAACCTCGCACTGCATGCAACCTGGAAGGTCCAGCAGGGGGATTCCCCCCTGATCAGGGCTCGGAGCACCTGGGGGGGGAATCCCCGCCGCACCGCACTCCAGCGCCCAAATCACTTCCTTTGAGGGAACCATGGCCTTCCGCTGAGGCTTTGACACCGTAGGCGTCAGTTGGTCCTGCAGTGCTTTGCGCTTCTCCTGGAGCCGACCGAGGGAGGCAACATCCAACAGTCCAAACCTCTTGGAGAACCAGCGAAGGGTGTCCCAGATGCGCTGGATCTTGTGTGGGGTAGCCTCCGTGTCGCGCAGCTTGTTGAGGAGGGCGCGCACCGCCGCCGCATCCCAGGGGATCTGGTTGAACCCCATCCGGATAAGTTCCTCAAGGCCCAGGCAGTGAACACGTAGGGTGCGGAAGCGTGTGTCACCCAAGAGGTCCATGTACTCCTGGAAGAGGTCTGGCCCATGTATTGACTGGAGGTGGGGGATCTCATTGGCATAGGGTGCCATGTGGGCAATGAGCCTCCTCGCCCAGTGGAGCCGGAGGTCACTCTCCAGTCGTCGCTGGGTGGATGGTTCCATGTCCCGGATGCGACCGGGTTTCCAACGCCGCCACTTCTCCAAGGCTTTCAGCGCCGGAAGAGGCTCGATTGGGGTTCGGAGCCAGTTGACCCGGTCCGCTGCGGCCCACCGTCGTTGTAGGTCATCGAGTGGCGCCCCTGAGCGGTGGCATGGGCTAGGCGGGCAAAGGCCAGCGCCACTTCTTCAGCATTTTGTGGAGTCGTAGGTTGAGGCATGTTGTCCAGAGTGGAGTGGATTAAGAAGTTCAGGAACTCGGTGCTCACCACTCCAGTCGGTGTCTGCGCAGGATCAATCACTAGAAAGGGTTCGAACAAGGCCATGGGCAATTCCGCCTCCTCGGATGGCCCGTAGTGAGCCGCCATGATCAAGGCGGTCAGACATTCCCCGTCTGCCTGGACGGGCGAGAGGCCATTGCGTCTGAGGGTGTCCTGCGCGTGGGAGGGGACTGTGAAGTAGGTCCGCGTGTAGGGGGGCTTCAGGGCATAGTGCTGAAGCTCCATGGAGCAAGGCTGGGGACGTCCACACCGGAGGCTCCGCCCGACTGCCGGCAGGTTCACGCCAGCGCCAAGTACCCTCAAATGGCTGCGGAACGAGCACAAGGTCCCAAGTCCCAAATCGAAAACGAGAAAACAAACGGTCACGTCCGTCCCGTTTCAAAAGTAAAAAGCCGGTACCAGAGGCTTTCCCTACGACTCGGGCGACTGCGAGTGGTATACGGTCCACTCTACGGCTGTGTCTGGCACAGCGTCATCGGCCAGTGGCAGAACGGAGGCGCCACCACCTGCCACACCTCCCCAGGGATCGAACAGCCCAGGATGTCTAGGCGCCTCGTCGATCCACGCCCTCGACGACTAAGCAACTGGACCCGGCGTCAACACTCGACTCGACAAACCCGGCAGGCAAGGATCTCAAGAGAAAGGTGTTTGAGGCCCCCAGGGAGGCCTCAGAAACCCTCGAACATGTGGTGCAAGAAAGTCACTCACGCCTTTTTCATATCGAAGATGGCTGGTACCGGTAGGGTACCCTGGTCGTGGCCGTCTGCGGCAACCCCTTTTGTCCACCGAGCATATCAGGGCAAGAAGCTCCTGGCCCAGCCAACAGGGATGCAAAAAGACAACGCCAAAAATGCCACTGCACAGGTGGAAGCACTTCCACTTACTCAGCGGTCATGGATCTGCTTCAGGCCATCCGCCTCCGGGTTCGAAAAGATGATGCCCCAGAGGAGGTCCGAAATGTGCTCCATGACCCGGCTGAATCGAAGCTGACTGACCGTGCTGGGGTCAATGTCCAAACACTCGTCTCGGAGGGGAGCCTGGGGCTCCATGGGTGTAGTACTCGATTCTGGACTTGATCCATCTGTTGTAGAGGTCCTGGGGAGGCTCATCCAGGATCAGCTGGAGGGACACCCGCTTGCCCTTGTGGCGGCCCTGGATCGGGACAAAGCGGGTGGAGCCCCGCTTGGATTTCTAGAAGCCCTTGCAGTGCCTGCACACGTAGCCGCCCCGCGTAACGCCACTCTCCTTGGTGACCACATCCCAGGGGGAAATCGAGCTCAAAATAAGGCCACACTCCAAGCGGCCCCAGAAGACGTGGCTGTTCTTGTCCTTGAACTGCTTCTTCTTGTAGTCCGAGCCCGCAATCGACTCCACACAATCCACCGTGAGAGGCGGATAGTTGCCCGGTGACCCCGGAAGGTGCTCATCCGGCAGGGCCCCCCCCCCCCCCATATCAGGGCCGGAGGCAGGTGCGTCCGGGTGAGGGGGCCACAATGGTGGCATCGGAGTAGCCCAACTTGCGGTAGATGGCAGAGGCCTTGCCCGGGTCCGTGACCTTGGCAACCCACCATTGCTCCTCCGTGCAGCGCCAGGCCACTCCGTCATTTCAATTTCATATTCTAAGTACCTCGTTTTGACCCAAAAAAAAAAGTACATAGAATATCTCCGAGCGGATCAAACGAGTACTTGGAATATCGTGGAATGGTCTGTGGAAGATAGGGGACATAGGGGAGAAGATGGGAGAAGGAAAAGGGACATAGGATGCGAGCTCGCGCGCGCGCGCGGGTGTTTCGATTCGAGGCACGCGGGTTTTTTGATATAACCATCCTGAAGATGCTTTTGGGACCCCGATATTCCATGTATTATTACTTTTCTTTAGTGCCGCGGGATTGAGTTGTACCAAAATTCTATGTACTTCAGGATGGTTATATATATATGCCTTCTCAAGTTGTCCACAGCCATATTAAAACCTTTGGTTTCAATATGTTTCTGTGTATATTTACATGAATAAATAAAAAAAATATATATATAAATACAAATATACATTATGTATTATGGATTTTCTTCCATTTCCCAAATCAGCATTAGGCCTTTGCCAAGCTGGATTCACAGCACTTTCTTGTACGCCAAAGGCGAAACAGGGTCTATGGTGTTGCAGAAGCAAACGTTGGCAGCGGTGGATATGATGGCAAAGCTCTCGCTCATGCCTTTGGAGCAGTCCTTCAGCATCTGCAACCCCATTTCCATTTCGGATGGAGGAATGCTTTGATCCAAATGAGCCAGAGGAACAGCCACGTGGCGCACGGATTTGCGACATTCTGGCAGCAGCCATGGAGAAAGCCCGTGCAGCTACATGGCTGCAGGATGAGACCTTTGCTGACTTGACCATGTTCTAAGTGTTGGGGTTGTGTGTTGATTAATGTACATTTCCAGATTTGGTATCCCAATATCTAACTCATTGTAACTCTATATATTTATCTAAACATCATATCTAGATCGGTCTTGGCTGCCATGCCAAGGCTGGAGAGGGTGAAACCATTTTTGTGGATTGCAGTACTTCCAGAGAGCGGAATGTGGAGAGTGCGGCAAATGTGCTGACATGCGTGACTCCCAAGCATGAGATCTATTTGAATTTGCTTTCCAGATATGTGAAGCCACAGGAGTACCTCAATGCTCAAGGGATATGGCGCGTAGATGCAGAGAATGTCCAGGCATATGACAAGATGCTAGAGAATGGCCTGGCACAGGAATTGGCTGGGAACTCCTTCACCAGCACTGTGGTGCAGGCAGTGGTTTTGGCATCCTTTGTGACCTGCGAGTGTTGGTTGCACATTGATCTGCAAGAAATGCCCGCCAAGCCCATGGTGGCACCAAAAAGATTGAAACAGTCAAGGCAGCACATGCTGCAAATCAAGCTGTGCCCAATGAGAGGAAAGCTAGGAAGGTTGACCCGAAGCCTTCCCTTGACAGTGAGCAGAAAGGTCTGAAGCGCAAGTTTGAGGATGAGAGTGTTAGCCAACGACTCCTGCCAGATGCGCAAGTGGTTCCATCCGATGATCCCCTACATCATCAAGTTGCTCAACAACCTGATGGTGAACAACAGGTTGTCAGACGGCGTCTTCGCGAAAAAACTCCAGCAACACTCCTACAGCTCAAACCAGTCAAGAAGAAGAGAGGGAAAGGGCCTGGCAACAAGAAAGGGACAGGGAAGAAAAGCATGGCAACCATCCGGCAAAAGAATGAGATCTTCCTGGCTTTTCAAAAGGCCAAGTCTAGCGGGGTGGAGTATCCAATCAAAGAAGTTGAGAAGCAGAAACTACCAGGATGCTTCGCCGGCTGCATGTTCGAGAGCAAGTGGGGCGTAGCACGCAGAGAGCAGACCTGGGAGTTGCTTTGCGCAACTGCGCCTGCCATGTGCAAAAAGCACAAGGAATTGCCCAACAGCCTCAGAAGGATCCTGGGCTTTGAGAAGCAAAAGCATGGCCATGGCACTTCAAGCAAGGAGACAGAGAGATGCTACATTCCGTTTGCCTTGGGGCGGGCAATTGAGGGAATGATCATGGACAGAATCATGCTGGGTGAAGAGACCACTATTGCCTATGTGAAGAATACGATAGTCTGGGCCGTGCAGCTTTGGAATGAGGTGATTGAAATGATTCGCGGTGACATCAAGGCAACCGGCCTTGAGACTACCAAACAGCAAGATGAGGAGCTTGCATCCATGTCGCCTCAGCGTCTCCACAAGTTCTTCCAGGAGCTGGCAGACAATGCTGAATCTTTGCTCCAGCCTATCAACATGGACATAAACGATGGTGCTCTCCTGAACCTAGGCTTTGACTTATGTATGGAATCTTCTAAGTGTGTAAGCACTGAATGCATGATTTACATTAAACTAAAGACAAACAATACCTTATACTGCCAAGAGCTGCGTATTTTTGACACTGTAGACACAATAGCTTGGACATTATATGTATATACACAAACACTAAAGATCCTCCTTGGGCTACACCAGGTGGGGTTGGGTCCCCTAAAGGTGGATAAATTGCGAGGGTACCCAACGTGCCACAAAACCGATTTTCTTCAAGCTTGGGCTCAAAAGTGGATAAAATGACGATGGGTACCTGGATAAATGTGGGGGGGACCCAACATAGGCTCTGGCTAAAAAAGTTTGGCCAGCCTTGGCTAAATTGTTATGTTCCCAACCCTGCCTGGCAATTTATTAAAAACATCTCAAGATTCAAATCCGCCCCCTCAAGAGTCCAGTCACTCCACTCGTGAGATTTGTGCAGCCATGCATTTGTCAAGCAAAGGGCATAGGTTGCAGCCTTTGCTGGGTAGGTGGTGTGTGTGGGTTGTGTGGTGGCTCAAATGACTGGCTTGCAA